ACGTTGTCCAACTTCTCTTTCACAGCAAGCTGTGTTTCTTTTAGAACTTCGCTTAATGGGTAGCTGTTGCCTTTACTTTAATCTATTTCTTTGCAGAGATGCTCGGGTGACCCCTCAGAGACATAATTTCCCAGAATATATGAAAAGGAAGCAAGTAGGTGTGTACTCTTTATAAAATCCCCAACCGTCCATTTAGAGGTTGTGTGCTCTCTCTTAAAAGATTTCAGGTTCTGAATCAGTTTCTTATAAAATAAAAGGAAATAACCGAAGTGTGTCTCAGGTTGACATTAGTAACGATAAATATATATATATATATATATATTGTTTTCTATCCTGTGGATCTGTTTCTAGCTGCATCATTTTGATGATAATATTAATCAAGGGTTATATATTTTTATTTTTTATAAAAAAATTATATATGCGAGTTTTTTAATATATTTATGTAGTAAAAATCTAAATTCAAATAAAAAATCTTATCAGTGCATATAATTAAATAATCAAAAACTATATATACGAATAAATAAATAAATAAATAAATAAATAATTATTAGTGATACCAAAAAGTAAAATTTGAGAAATCAAAATACGAGTATAGATTAAGATATTTAATATTAAAAGACGAGATATTTACACAATTGTGTTTTTATTTTTTTTATTAAAATAAATTTTTTATTTAAACAAATGATGATAGAAGTTCAATATTTTTCTACAATTTGTATTTAGGATTTGTGGAAAAATAAATAGATCAAAATCTACCTTATATGATCATATATTTTTGCAGTGATCATATATTTTTGCAGATAAAAGCCTGTATTTGAACTCTTATTATTGATAAAAGTATGTATTTCAGTATATAAGCTTAGAAATAAAAAAGCCTTGTATTTAAACTCTTATTATTGATATAGCTATATGCTATTAATTTATAAAATATTAATATGGGAGTCAACTTTATGGGACCTAATATTACATTAAAGTAATTGAAAAAATGGAATCGCACGTTAACACGGAAAAACACAACTTCAACGCAACGATGTACCGAAACAGAGGCGTAGAAAGCCAAATAAATAAATAAAAAATAAAAAATAAAAGTAGAGAGAAGCCAACGGATGTAACGTGCAAGGAAGACATTGGGATATACTTATGTATTTGGATGTCCTAAGCTTTGGAACGTTGTCCAACTTCTCTTTCACAGCAAGCTGTGTTTCTTTTAGAACTTCGCTTAATGGGTAGCTGTTGCCTTTACTTTAATCTATTTCTTTGCAGAGATGCTCGGGTGACCCCTCAGAGACATAATTTCCCAGAATATATGAAAAGGAAGCAAGTAGGTGTGTACTCTTTATAAAATCCCCAACCGTCCATTTAGAGGTTGTGTGCTCTCTCTAAAAGATTTCAGGTTCTGAATCAGTTTCTTATAAAATAAAAGGAAATAACCGAAGTGTGTCTCAGGTTGACATTAGTAACGATAAATATATATATATATATATATATTGTTTTCTATCCTGTGGATCTGTTTCTAGCTGCATCATTTTGATGATAATATTAATCAAGGGTTATATATTTTTATTTTTTATAAAAAAATTATATATGCGAGTTTTTTAATATATTTATGTAGTAAAAATCTAAATTCAAATAAAAAATCTTATCAGTGCATATAATTAAATAATCAAAAACTATATATACGAATAAATAAATAAATAAATAAATAATTATTAGTGATACCAAAAAGTAAAATTTGAGAAATCAAAATACGAGTATAGATTAAGATATTTAATATTAAAAGACGAGATATTTACACAATTGTGTTTTTATTTTTTTTATTAAAATAAATTTTTTATTTAAACAAATGATGATAGAAGTAGAGATAAAAATTAAATTGATTGAATAAAATAAAAGTAAAAAATCATGTAAGGCTGCATGTATTATAAATATTATCTGAAAATAAAAAAAATATTTTCAAAAATAAAGTTCATTCAAGATAAAAAAATTATAAATGAATAAAAAAACTCTTCAAATTTAAATGCATAAATAAAAAATAAAAAAGAAGGGGCATTAATTTCAATATAAATTAAAAAAAGAAGAAGCAAAGATCAGACGTTGTTGGACATAGTAAGTCAGGCTAGTTACCAGGCCTATTTTTTAAAGGCCCTGCCCTACCAGGCCTACACGACTGGCCACTTAATTTTTTTTTAATTTGCAACTAGTTAGTTCCAAGTTTTTTAAAAAATTAGAGCTTAAGTTTTTTTATCCCAAAACCTTTTTCCAACCTATTTTTTACTAAAAACACCTATAAAACACTATATGAACTGTGATAAATATATTTATAACTTCCATAAACCATCTAAAAAGTCAAAATCAACCTAAATCCAAAAATCCACCTGAGCTTAGAGGTCAGATCTATTTTTTTTTATAAACTTTAAAGGTAAAAAAAAATCTAATATAAACTTCTCTCATTAAATAAAATCATTTAGTACAAATATCATTTGTTTTTTTGCGCTTAACTCGGTGTCAACGATACTTGTACCAAAATTCTCTTTTTATTGTTTGAATTTAACAGTCTCTTTCAATTAGGGACTAAAAAAATAAAAAAAAACTTTTATAACAAAATTGACTTGAAAAAATTTTGAGGTACTGAAATTGTATAATTTATGTAATTTTTAATGTTCAAGGACCAAAGTGTATTTTTTATAGAAATTATGGCATGCTATCTATGTTTGATGTTTTTTTCATTTCAGTTCCTCTTTTTTTAATTTTATTTTTTTTTATAAAAAATCAAAATTAATTGATCTTCAATTAAAATTAAATTATTAAAAAAATTAAAAAATATAAAATTTTGCATAATTTATCTACATGAAAGAATGAATAATAGAGCCACGAAAAGGCATACATTTTAGAATAATACGTAATTTGCTGGAGATTCCTTGGGTTGCATATAAAGACAGAAACAGGCCCTCATCCTCAGGCCTTGATAGAACATATTGTAGACATCTGGCAACGCCGGCCTTGTTTGCTTAGAAAAAAAAATATATATTGCACAGAGAATCTAAGTTAAGGAGAAAATTTAAGGAGAGGCACTGGAGTTTTTTCCCAGTAGCAAGTAACAGAACGGGCATCTTTTAAAGAGGAGACAAATTCTCTTCTTCAATCATTTTAAAAATACATTTGTATAATAATTTGATTTATTTAAAGAAATATATAGTTTAGATTTAATTTTAATATTTAAAATAAAAAAAATAGCAAATCAGATTTACCATCACGGCTTATCTATTAATAGTTACAATTTTAATTTTTTGAATAAATGCTTGCAAAACTGACTACTAACTCAATATTAATATATTTTTTCTGAGATTATGATATTTTTTTTGAAATTATAATAACCTGTATATAAAAAACTAAAATAAATAACAAAGTTGAATTTTTAATAAATACAATATTGAAATATGAAAATAAAAATAAAAAAGGCCAAAAAAAAGAGTAAACAATTAAAAAAAAAGTTATTGTTCTAATGAACAATTAGAATAGTAACATGTGAGTAAAGTAGCAATGATTTTCCTTTTCAATTAGTTGTTGTTACTAGATAGATTGTTTGTATTTTGTTGTGGGTTAGATTGATTTTCTTAAAGTGTAAAAAAATAATGTTTAAGTGCTATTAGTGTATTTTTTTTTTAAAAAATAACAACATGCCTTTCAAAAAGAACTGAAAAAAAAAATTGTAATCTCTGAGAATCAAAAGGATAAAATAAAAAAAAATTAATAAACAAATAAAATTAAATAAAAGGAATACTAACAAACACTAGTGATGAAATTAAAAAAAAAAGATTATAAATTCAATGATAAAATTAAAAATAAATTAAAATTTAATAAAAAGGTTATGAATAAAAATTTAAAATAAAACATTGAAGGCCAAAACTTTAAATATTATCAAATATTAAATTAAAAGACAAAATTGAAAATTTTATGACCACAAATTCAAAAAAGAATAAAAAAATAAAAATAGAAAGAGTGAGCACCAAATCTTTTTTAAAAAATTAAAAAAATCAAAATCAATATATACTATTTATTTAAAGTTATGCTGAACTAGATTAGTTGACTTGTAATCCAGGAGACGCGAAGCATGGGCTAGCCCAAATTTCAAAAGAAATTGGAACAAAACATGTAAAAAAAGCTCTAAATAACATATGTTTAAAAAAAAGAAATAAAAATCCCATAGAAAATTGAAAAGAAAAGCAAGAATATGTAAACACCTAAAAAGAAGAAGAAAAGAAAATAAACTTCTTTAACTAATTAAGGTGACTATTTACCTTAAAGGGAAGGTAACTGATGGAGAAAACAAAACGAAACGTAAAATAAAACGAAACGTTTGGTGCACGTGTTTTAAAAACAATAGGAGTAAAGAAAAATACTGAAATACAATTTAATGAGATTCAAAACAACTCAGTTTAAATTTAGCGTAAATCAACAACAGAATCTGAGAAAACTTTTGCAGGGAAACACAGGAGTTACAAGGTAGAGACAAAAGAGGAATTGATTACATTGTTGACTGTAAATAGCTTGAGAGTATCTTGGAATTGCGAGGAAAAAACCTTAAGAAGCTTTCGAAAAAAAATCAAGAACTAGAGTTAGAGAAGTGAGATTTTATGAAATTAAACACTTAATAACTCATTTATGAGAAAAATCAAGTGGGAAATAGTGAAGGGATAAGGAGAGAAGGACGACAATCTTGGAGGAGAAAGAGAAAGAGAAGTTGGAAGACTTTTGATTAGTAAGTGGTGAAAACTCAAATCTTTATTTAGTAAAGTATTTAGACATAATTGAACATGTTTTACTAGATTTAGTTGGTTTTGATGGAATATATATACATATTCAATAATTCTTTATATTGACACTATTATTGTTGGGGGTATTATAGTTGGTGTAGAGCACTGACTTTGATTTAGTAGACTCACACAATTTTTTGGTGAATGTTGAATGGACGCAGGATGATATATACTAGGCAAGGGATTATGACTGATCTGTCTTCAACAGGACAGAGGGATCAAGATACTGTGCTGAGGGAAAATCAAGAGGAGGACCCTTTAGCAGACACTGCTTCTCATGCACTTACAGTACTAGTACAGTTAGAGCAGGGGAAGTCAACAAGACTCCGGGATGGTGCAGCACCAGAACAGGTCGAGATACAGCATGTACCGGTCAGGGAGGAGTAATTGGGTAGACCACCACCGGAGGTGCCTATATATATATATATATAGAAGCAAGGAGCGTGGGTTTCTTGCGTTGAGGCAGGGTGAGATTACGATACTGGAGTATGAGAGGTGATTTCAGGATCTCTTGACGGTTGCCTTCGTTTATCTGCCTATCGAATAGCATACATGTTGATTTGTATAGAAATAATTATTGGTATGAAAAACATACATGTTGATTGAGATGTAATGATTGGATCAAGATACATTGATGAGTAATTGATTTTGATAATTACAGAAATTTTTTTCAATAACTTGGTATATCGGAGAAAATCTGTTGAAAGAAAAAAACCACACACAGGCATAAAATCTATTGTACTAATTTATCAATAGTTATTTATATCAACACTATTATTGGTAGGGACATTAAAAAAAAAACATATAAGAATAAAACTAAAAAAAATAAATTAAAAAAATCAAATAAATTTGGATAAACTTTATAAATCTAAGTTAATCTCTTAAAGTTATAAATGGTTAAAACTCCACACTTAGGTTAAACTAAGAAGCTTAATATAAAATAAATTTAATGTTGAAGGATGAAATTAATTAATTTAATTTTTATAAAACAAGATCTAACAAAGAGCACAAAAAAATTGAGGCAATACCAAACAAATTTAATGTTGAAGAGTGAAATAAATAAATTTAATATAATAAAAAAATTCCCTTTAAAAAAGATAGATTTAGGAAAGAAAAGAAACCTGAGGTAACCCGCATAACTATAAAAAAATCAGAAAAATCCCATAAAAAATAAAAAAAATATCAAATGATGAAAAAACAAGAAGAAAAAAAACTAAACAAATTTGTGTGAACCTTTTAACCCCATATTAGTATCTTAAATTTGCAATTTATTAAGTTTTAAATTTGAGTTCAACTAAGAAAATTAATACTTCACAAATTTAATATTAAAAAATGAAATCGCAAAATAAAATCAAACCCAAAAGGTTTTAAATTTTAAAAATTAGATAAGAAAAAAAACCAAAGGAGAAAGAAATAAAAAACCAAATCAATTCTATAAACCATTTAAAATAAAATAAATAGAGATTAAAAGAATCGAGCTCAAATTAAACATATGAAAAAATTTATTAGAGATAAAATTAAAAAAAAAATCTAATTTTAAAAATTATTTTAAATAAAAAAAATATTAATCAAAAGGCCAGGAATAAATGTACAAAAATATAGAACTAAAGGGTTGCATTGAGTTTTTTCAAGGATCAAATTTTAAAGATAAAAAATAATGAGGGATCAAATTAAAAATAATTTTTTATAAATTATTTTAAATAAAATAAATATTAATAATAAATAAAAAAATTAAATTTAAAAAGAAAACTAATTAGATGACTGCATTGAATTTTTGTACGGACAACACCCTTTCCTGGATGAGATAAAAAAAAGAAAACAAAAGAAACGAGCGTTGACAGCGATCTAGAGAAAAATATGAAAAACATATCATCAAATCAGATAGGCATTGTCGAGAGGATTTCATAGCCGTCTTGAAGGCCATTATTTGACCATGTGAATTAGCCGCATGCACCACCACAAATTTGTTGCAGGCTCACACACCCTTCAAATTAATTATTTAAATAACATTATATAATGTTAATTCAATCTGCAATTAAATTTGAAAGGTTAGAAGTATCCGCGGGTGATAAGTATATGTCATCTTGCTCTCAAGGGAAAAAAAAAAAAAAAAACCATACAATGCAAAAAATTTATGTGAAGGCCAATACACCCCTAGTTAATTCAATAATGCCAATTAAATCCCTGTAAAAATAAAAAAAAAACACCGCAGAAAGCAACATTCTTCGGTTTTGGTATGATAGAAAAAACGGGAATCCAAGAGAAGGAAACAAACCCTAGGATTAACTTCTCATTTGTGAAGCAAGCCTGACGTTTATGTGACTAATTTTATCCAATTAAAGGGACGGAGACAAGTGTAGAAATTAAAGAGCATCATCGTCCAAGAATGCAGCAAATGGACAAGCCGCTTGCTAAGCTCCACCTACAAACAACAAAAACTACTTGTTACAAGACGAGTCAAGGTACCACCAAAAGACTTCTGTTTTTATTGCTAGCTACTTCTTTCGCTATATATACATATACCTGTAGCTTGCTCTTCCATGGATTGACCGTTTCCTTAACCAATCCAATTTAGCAAGCATGACCGGTAACTTGGTAATAAGCAGCCACTGTTCCTTGTTCTTAACGTTGTTTTTCTTGCTAGTTAGTGCCTCCCTTACAGCAACATCAGCTCAATGGGTATGGCCGAAGCCAAGAACCCTGTCTTGGCCGATCCCACTCGCCACTATTCTCTCCCCAAACTTCACTATCTCCTCCCCCTACCACCAACATCTCTCCCCAGCCGTTAACCGTTACCGCCACCAAATCCTCACGGAGCACCACCTCCCTCTCGTTGCTCCCCCATTCAACCTCTCCAACTCATCCCCTCCTTTGCAGGCCCTGACCATCACTGTCAAAGACCTCGCCGCCCCACTCCAACACTCCGTTGACGAGTCCTACGCCCTTGTCATCCCCACTGCTAGCTCCACCGCCAATCTGACGGCCGAGACTGTATGGGGCGCCATGAGGGGTCTGGAGACGTTTTCTCAACTGGTTTGGGGATTGAAACCATTGCTTGTCCCTGTTGGGCTCGACGTGTGGGACTCGCCTCTGTTTGAGCATAGAGGGATCATTTTGGATACCTCTAGGAATTACTACCCAGTGGATGACATTTTGAGGACCATCAAAGCCATGAGTGCTAATAAGCTCAACGTTTTCCATTGGCACGTTACCGATTCTCACTCTTTTCCTTTAATGCTTCCATCTGAGCCTGCTCTTGCTGAAAAAGGGTCTTATGGGAATGACATGCTCTACTCTCCAGCTGATGTTGCAACAATTGTTCGGTTTGGTTTGGAGCATGGTGTCAGGGTTCTACCGGAAATTGATTCTCCAGGTATATTGATTATTTTCATTAATGCCCTAAGCTTAATCAATTGTTCTATTCATTAGGAGATCGGGAATAATTAATTAATTGCATACTCTAGCGACTAGAGTGGCAAACATCATGCCACTACTGATTTTGTCAAATATCAAGTTTGTTAGATATCTTTTTTTCTTTTTTTTATGGGATAAGGTTAGATATCATGATCATACAAGTTCTTGATTAATTTCCACAGCAAATTATTAATCTGGCACTGCAGATGCCGAACTTACTACAGAGACATGGTGCCACATTTGTTTATCACATCAAACAAACAGTGCATATACATATATAAGAGATTGTGTACAGTATGTAAACCCTCACTCAATCTACAAGTCCCAGGAA